AGGAAACAGGGTAATTCCCACGCTTTCTGCTCGGCTGTGTTGGGTAGTCGGTGCAAAGACAAAACAAACAAACAAACAAACTTTCAAATAGTAAGAAGGGTAGCCGAGCACAGTTGTGTGTTTGCTCAATAGTCAATGGTGTTGTCTCAATAGACAATGGTCAACCCTCTGATTTCATAATGCCCTTTGTAGTAGATAGTATATACTACTTGGAAACAAAACAGTCAAAAATTATTGCATCAAGACTTTTGACACTTGCCATGCAATTCTAGCAGACGTACCGCTTAGCGGGGTGTCTTCCTTCCCGGGAATCGGTAACAAAGGCGCCGAAAATCTTGAGAAAAGGTAAAACTTGACACAAATTTCTGAAAATGGCAAAACGTCCAATAAATGTTTGAAATAAGCAAAATAGGCAAAAAAAGGCAATTTGCCTTTAATCCGAGCTTTAGTGATAAGTCTCATAATACGTAATTCTATTACAGTATTTCAAGAGTTATGTGAATTATTTTGAAAATGTACTTTAAAAAACGAACCTGTTTTTGAGACATGTTTGCATGAAATTTTCGTCTTAAAATTTCATTTTGTATGAACCGTCATGGCCGTGCTACTATAAACTGACTCACCGTGTACATTGAAAATTATTTTAAATGAATCTGTCTGATGAACTGTTACTGATTTAATTACTCTACGTTTTGGAATAGTGATTTGAACAGAAGGTTTTTACTTCTTACTTGCATACCAGAAAAGTGATTTATATTAATTTCTAATTAAACTTAATAATTTACTTGATGCAACTATCGACATTTCCGATCGCAACTTCGGACAAAATGTTTAATGCATCAAGCTATAAATTGAAGCAATAGCTCACTCAAATTTCAACATGAAGTTAGCATAACTCCATATTCTCGATCGGAATAAAAATAAATTTTACATACTTGAATACATTAGTGATTGAGCTATATCAGGTACTTTGGCTTGCAACTGAACCTCATTTGGTTTTATTTGTTCTTTCAAACTTTTATAGAAGTATTATCCTTAAGTGAATATATATTTTTTAAATTGATTTTTAATTGTATTGCCAATTGAAAAAACAAATTTGATGGCTTAGCGCTTTAAAATATTTTCAAGATTGCCACACTTGGTCATTTTAAATGGAACAACCTATATATCATTACATTTTAAAATTCCACTCCAAATTTTAAATATATTTGATGTATAATATCCTATACCTAAGCCTTTTTAATTTTTAATTTCTCCTAATTATCCAGATAGGATCCAGGACACCCTGTATAATATAAATTTTTATCTTATATACAGGGTGATTCAAAATTGGCGTCATTCCTTTCAAGGGGTGATAAAGAAGTAATATTGAAAATAATAGAAAAATATTTTTAAAAAAATTTTCCAAAATTTCTGGAAAATATTAACAGTTGAAGATCGAATTTCAACTTTGTTATTAAGCATTATTTTGAAATTGTTCCATGTTTAATTGGTAGCATATTGGAATACTTAAGC